TGGAAATCACATGACTAGTTTAAGCTGAAACGTGGAATATTAATTCTGTCTTCAGATCACTTTTGCATATTTATGATTGATCTGTTTGGCTGTTCTGGAAGCTCTGAAAACCACTCTGTCTTGCTCTAGCTGGTGCCACGGTTGTGAGAATTCAGGGAAACAAGGTGTTTGCCAGTTTAAGTATTTTAGATCTCAAGCTGCCTCTTTTCTGCATCATAAACCAGTCTTAAAGAAAGACACAGTGTGACTTGCAGTGGATTATATCAGTTTTATTTTCTGTGGCTGAATCATCACTCTACATTGTGAATTAATGTTATTTTTCAGATCGTCTTCATAACACAGGGAGGTTCTCCAGTGTTGAGTGCAGGTTCAGTGAAGGCACTAACACTGTTACTACGGACTTAAACAGACTTGTTTTCTGAGGTGATAACCTTGGAGTCAGGCATTCAGTGTCTGCCCATCACTTGGTTCCAAGTTCTTGGTCCCCTCCCACTTTCCTCCCCCTGCACCCTTACTTCTATCTTACCTTCTTTTTGACTCATAGGCCCTCGGCAGATGGTGTGTTGGGGGCAGGTGTCTGCTGTGAATCTTCGATAACCTTGGGAGAGAACTTTTTCTTTGGAGCAATACCCCTCTCAATAAACTTTCAGTAGCCCGAGTATCGTCTGTTGTGTGAACTATTTGTGGAAAATGTTCAGCATTTTTCCTTGGATTTTGGCCAATCTTTCTCCACCTGCCAGTTTCTTCTCAGTTTGCCATGTCTGTACCCTCACCAACCCCGTTCCAGCCCTGGTTACGTGTAAAGTATTTGAAGCAGAGCTCTGCAGATGAGAGAGCACACGTGTGTTGCCCCCCGAGTTCCCTTCTTGGCCTCTGAGTGTGGGTTGTGTTTTGTTCCGAGGGACGACTCTGAGGCTCCTGGCCCCTGTTTTGGAGCACCCCACACCAAAGTGGGTGTAAAATGAAAAATGGGCTTATGCTGTATTATTATAATTCATAGAGCAGATAATAAAAATGCTTGAATCTGAACAGCAGCTGAAAATGAGGACATGGTACCAGTTTGGATGTTGGATGACCTTGAAAAAAGCTTTCATCATACTTTAGAAACTGTGCATGTGCTGTTTTCTATTTCACACTTAGAATCTGTACAGTGTGTGTTGTATGAATGTGTTGTATGAGTGTGTTGTGTTGTATGTGAGTTGCATGGGTTGTATGTGCATATTGTATTGAGTTGCATTTATTTTATGTTTCAGTGTTGTGTGTTGTATGAGTGTGTTGTATGTGTATTTGTGAGTTGCATGTTTTGTATGTTGTATGAGTGTTGTGTGTTGTATGTATGTGTATGTTGTATATGAGTTGCATGTATTGTGTGTGTGTTGTGTGTTGTATGAGTGTGTTGTACGTGTATTTGTGAGTTGTATGTTTTGTAAGTTGTATGAGTGTTGTGTGTTGTATGTGTGTATGTATATGTTGTATATGAGTTGCATTATTGTATGTTGTATGAGTGTTGTGCGTTGTGTGTGTTGTATGTGTGTTTGTGAGTTGCATGTGTTGTGTGTTGTATGAGTGTTGTGTCTTGTGAGTGCATTGTACATGTATTTGTGTTGAGTTGCATGTGTTGTATGTTGTATGTGTTATATGTTGTATGTGTTGTACGTGCATATTTTGTGTGTGAGTTGCATGTGTTGTATGAGTGTGTTGTATGTGTATGTTGTTGTGAGTTGCATGTATTGTGTGTATGTTGTATGAGTGTTGTGTTGTATGAGTGTGTTGTACGTGAATGTTGAGTTGCGTGTGTTGTGTGTTGTACATGCATGTTGTGTTGAATGTGAGTTGAGTTGCATGTGTTGTACGTGAGCTGTATGAGTGTGTTGTATGTGTATGTTGTGAGTTGCATGTATCGTGTGTATGTTGTATGAGTGTTGTATGTGCATGTTGTGAGTTGCATGTGTTGTGTGTTGTATGAGTGTTGTGTGTTGTATGAGTGTGTTGCATGTGCATGTTGTATGTGAGTTGTGTGTGGTGTGCTGTATGAGTGCATTGTACGTGTGTTGTGTTGTATGTAAGTTACGTGTGCTGTATGTGTGAGTGTGTTGTACGCACATGTGTTGTGAGCTGCATGTATTGGGTGTGTGTTGTATAGGTTGCGTGTGTGTGCATTGTGTGTTGTCAGTGTTGTATAAGTGCATTGTACATGCGTGTTGTGTTGTTTGTGAGTTGCATGTTGTCAGTGTGTGCCGTGTGAGAGGCAAGGCATCCACATGACTGCTCCTCAGCGAGTCCTGCCTTGCAGCCCCTTCTGAGCATGTATCCTCCGGAGCAGCCTAGAAGCAGCAGCATGTTTGCCTCTGCCCCTCCCCAGGAGGCCTCAGCCGGATTCTGTGCTCGGCCCCTCGCTGGGCAGTCTGCCTCTCTTGTCTCTCTCGTCATCCTCCTGTGCCTCCTCCTTCTCGGGACCTGCATCCTTCCTCTGTGCTCCCTGGCAAGCCACACCTGGGACGTTGGAGTTCAGGCTCTCCCCGAAACCATTTGCTCCTCTCTGAAGAGCGCCCCCCTTGACTGGCCGTGAGCAGCTGGAGTGGATTGCAGGGAAGGGAGGCGGGTGTTCCTGTAGAGACGCCAGGGTCTTACCTGGGGAGAAGGGAGCCTGCATTGGGCAGGTCGCCCTCCTGAGGAAGGGGATGGGGCAGTAGGAGCCTCTCGTGGACAAGGGGCCCACCTCCTGCCCTTCTTCCCTCTATCCCAGTCTGTTGTGAGGGAGGGCAGGGCCCTAGGTGACTTCTATGCAGATCTTCAATTATCCAGGCTGTGAAACAAATACTTCTGTTTTTAAGATCAGAGGAAATCTCCTTTTGTTTGTCTGCCTTTTATTTTATTTTGCTTTTTTTGAGAAGGAGTTGCCCAGGCTGGAGTGCGGTGGTGCGATCTTGGCTCACTGCAACCTCCACCTCCCGGGTTCAAGCGATTCTCCTGCCTCAGCCTCCTAAGTAGCTGGGATTACAGGTGCCCACCACCACATCTGGGTAATTTTTGCATTTTTAGTAGAGATGGGGTTTCACCATGTTGGCCAGGCTGGTCTCGAACTCCTGACCTCAAGTGATCCAGCCGCCTCGGCCATCCAAGGGGTTGGGATTACAGGCATGAGCCACCGCGCCCGGTCTGTCTGCCTCTTAGTTAGAACCTGTATATTTTATGTTTTAAATTTCACTTTTCCAGGTCAGAGCAGTAGTGTTTCTTTTTTGTGGTGTTGCTATGAATGTCCTTTACGATTAGGAGACTGGGTGGGTGCCCTCTCCCTGGTGCCCTGCTCTTTTAGATGAGGTGGGGGTCAGCTTGGCTGCTTCTGATTTTGGGGGGTGCACTACTTCTTGGGGCAGCTTGCCGGCAGGGGCTGCCTGTGGTGTTTCCTGGGGAGCTACATTTGTCCTTGTAGGCCTGGGGAAGTAGGCCGGCCCTGACTACACGCCTCAACACACGTGCCTTCCACCGGCCCCCAGGCCCAGGTCCAGACCCAGCTGCGTCCTGTGTAGCCTGCTCAGCTGCTGCCACCACGGCTATTGAACTTTTAATACCTGTGCGCAGACAGGCCACGGGCCCACCTCGTCAGCTTTGCTTACCCCCCAGTTCCATGTTACCTGTGCAGAAACCGGCTGCTCCCTGCAGTCCTGCAGGCGTGGTTTCCCCGGCCCCAACTCAGGCCGCAGGATCTCAGTCTCGGTGATTCTGCTGCAGCGGCCCGGGCTCTGGGAGCCAGCGGCTTCCCCACGCGGCTGTTGCTCACGTGTTCACATCGGTGCAGGAGGGCGGCCAGGGAGGGAGGCGGGGCGCTCTGGATTCTTCTCACCTGCTGCTCACCTGCTCTGAACGCAGACCAGCCGTTCTTCTCGTTCGCTTTTCCAGGGATGCTGCGAGGCTTTCGCGGGTGGGGAGTGACGCTCTTTGCTTTCTTCTCACCTTCCCAGTAGGTGCTGAAGGAATAATTAATAATAATGAGGCCAGTTCGGAGAAAACAAAAACTCACAATAACCTGTGTTACGTGGTCTTGTGTTACTCCAAATAGCCCTTCTTTCCCACGAACTCGCAGCCGCTCTCCCTTCCTCCACCGTGGCCCGCGTCCAGGGAGGAGCTGCGGGGCCTCTGCTTTTCCAGGGCCCTGCCGGCCTGCGTGGGGGACGGCCAGCGCTTAAAAGTTAGAGCGCCCCATGAACGCCAGGGCGAAGACGTCCACGTCTGCTGGGGAGGGAAAGCGCTTCTCTGAGTGATTTCCACCTGATCATTGACCTCTTATCAGCAGATGGTGTGGAAGGATGAGGGACTTCGTCTGAGATTTATGGAGTGTTCCTGTAAGAGATAAGCCTGGCTCTTGGTTTCCGTTCGCTCTCGGGTTCGTTTGATTGATGTGTTTTGTTTTGGGGAAGCTGCCGAGGAGGAAAGTCACGTGAGGTCTTCGCCCAGGGATTCCCCAGTGTGAGAATCTGGCTGTGGTTTCGCGCAGCGTGTGGGTCTGGAGGGTGGAGGCCGCGTCCCAGTCCGCGTGTGCCTCGTCACGTGGCGGTGAAAGCATGGATTCCACGAGTCTTTGCTAGAGAAAATCCAGGCGCTCCCAACCCACTGTGTGTGCTTTTCTGTTGGAAATGTCTCTAACTCATACTGGACTTAGAGTTTATTTAGTGTTTCTTATGTGAAGTTTCCTGGAACTGTTGAAAGTATTTTCCATGCTAGATGATAGCATTCCTGGACTCATACAATTCAAACTTTTCCTTTAGATTACATAATTATTTATTACCTATCCCCCATTTTTTTTTCAGTTAAAAAAGCACCTAGAACAATGTCTTAATGATGCCACCATGATTAGTATTAGAATTTAGCTACAGAGTGAGGTTAATAATGAATTAAGAGTCACGAGTATATAATATAAAGCATTGTGAAGGTATCTATGTATATTTTATGAGCCATCCAAAGTAAAAAATAAATTAGAGTCAACTCACAGGTGCAGGAATGTTATTTTTATTTTCTGTTTTATTCAGGAAATCTAAATCTGTAAAGCTGTTTTTTTTTTTTTTTTTTTTTTTTTAATTTCGAGGTCAACTCCAACAGAATCGATCTGTTCCTCAGCAGACCCAGGCTAGGGTACAGGTGTTGAACAGATCTGGGGATCTGCTAGTCGCGATTCAGTAGATAGTTTCTTGTTAGTTGGTAATTAAAACATTTTATAGTTATAAAGGTTTTAATGTACTTTTTGAACTTTGTTACAATATATTCCTTCAGGAATCTGTGAGAACTCTCTACTTTGTTTTTTCCTGTCTATTTAGTGTTATGTTAGGAGTTTTAATTCCTTCTACCCTGATATTTATTTAAAAATTCCCTATGTATTAGTAGATATATATTTGGTGCGTTTTAAAATGCTTGATACATTAACATTTTAAAATATCAAAAATATTTTAGAATATGCATTTTTTAAAATGTAAAAAGTAACTATAAAAATTGAGGTACATAAATTTAAAAAAATCATCCTTACAACTCTTAGTACCAATGATTTCTCTGTAGCATTGTGAAGTTGATTAACCCGGATGTCTGACAATGATCAATAGCGTTAACGTGCCAGGTTTATAACTAGGCTTATGCGTGTCATCTTATTGGATGATTTATTAACCACACGAAACAGCCAGTGTTACGAAAAGGGACGTTTGGGGTTTAAAGCCTTGCCTGGGTCCCGCTGGGGGTAAGGTGGGTCTGGGCCTACCCAGGACTGCTGATAACAGAACACAGCGGACTTGGTGATTTTTAGTCAAGAACTCACGGAATTTCAATGCAGCTCCCCAAACCATTCCTTCTTTTCTCTCTCCCAGAGCGAAATAGAATTGTTAGGTCCATGTGTTGTGTCTTGTGAAGGTTTATTGATTGCAAGTCCCCAGACTTTGCACAACAGGCAGATGGGAGTTCCTGTGTGGAGATGCCCTGAGCTATGTTGAAAACACTTGATCCTTTGTGTCCGGGCTTTTCCCCTCAGCACTATGGATGCTCTGGCCCAGAGGAGCCTTTGTGGGAGGCTGTCCTCAGTGCCTGTGATGCTGAGCATCACCCCTGCGTCCCACCCTCTGGTGTGCTCCCCAGAGCCTCTGTGGGGAGGCTTTGTGAGGAGGAGGCTGTCCTCAGTGCCTGCAGTGCTGAGTGTCACCCCTGCCTCCCATCCTCTGGTGTGCTCCCCGGAGCCTCTGTGGGGAGGCTTTGTGAGGAGGAGGCTGTCCTTGGTCCCTACAGTGCTGAGTGTCACCCCTGCCTCCCACCCTCTGGTGTGCTCCCCGGAGCCCTTGTGGGGAGCCTTTGTGAGGAGGAGGCTGTCCTTGGTGCCTGCAGTGCTGAGTGTCACCCCTGCCTCCCATCCTCTGGTGTGCTCCCCGGAGCCCTTGTGGGGAGCCTTTGTGAGGAGGAGGCTGTCCTCAGTGCCTGCGGTGCTGAGTGTCACCCCTGCCTCCCATCCTCTGGTGTGGCCCCCCGAAGCCCTTGTGGGGAGACTTTGTGAGGAGACTGTTCTCGGTGCCTGCGGTGCTGAGTGTCAGACCTCTGCCTCCCACGATGCCATCAGCATCCCTCCCCCCAGCAGAATCGCCCCTACTTGAGAACCGCTGCTTTAGGTGGTGGCGTGAGATGTGCAGGTTTGCATTTCTTTATTAGGAGTTTTAAATTTCTGAAAGTCTAGTTGTGGTGACTGTGAAACATACCTGAATGCGGACCTTCGAGTAGACAAGCTTCCGGAACTGTCATGGCACACGCATTTCAAGCTGCCCAGGTGTAAATCTGCATACAACTTTATTTCTCAGAGATCTTGGCCTTTTTGAGGCACGGATCGTGCCATCTTTGCATAGCTGCTTATGCCTCTAAGTGCTTCTGTGTGCTGGAGGCTGCTGTCCTGTCCCTGCTTCCTGGGATGCAGGGCTGTGGAATTTCTGCTGTGTTCCATAAAGGGTTAAAGCGTTCCAGGGAGGGCAATTCTGAGATTTCCCTTTTTAAAGACACTTTTAGTCAGGGAAGTGCTTTCCAACTAAGCCCGTCTGTTCTCTCCTGGGATGGACAGGGCAGCTACCGTCCGTGTTCCCGAGCCTCGAAAGCCGTTACGAAGTTCCAGCCTGGCCTTTACTTTCCCAAGCCTATTTCAGCTGATTTCAGCCGATCTCAGCCTTCCCTTGTAGATCTTTCTATTCATTTAGTTGGCATCCTTGCTTTCTTGTACCATCTCCCAGTTTTCCACAGTTTATTTACACTGGACATAGAATTACAACAGAAACTCACCCACGCTGGGGTAGGGCTGCCTTAGGGGTCTCCCCTTCTGCAGACCATGCTGCCCCCTGGAGAGTGGTATCACTGGTCACGGTCACCGTCTGCCCCAGGATGGGTCCAGAATGTTTAGAGTCTTTCCTGGACGTAGACACCCTTTTTGTCTGAAGTTCAGATAAAACCAATCACCATATTCAGTTAATCAAAGAGATCAGAGCTGGGAACCGTTAGTGCACATCCACCTCTCCCGAGAGTGTTCACGCCTCTTCCACGCGGGGCTAGGCTGCTGCTGAGCGTGGTTCTGCCGGCTGTGGGTGTGGCCTCTTTCCTCAACCACAGCCATCGCAGGTCTGCCACAGTTTTGACCCTTCTAGAAGAGAAAAGGCAACACAAGAGAAACAAGATAAGTTAAATTGGAAACCTTTAAAAATTATTTCCTCAAACGTTGTATATAATTTTTGCCCATACCTAATTTGATAGCAATTTAAAAAAGATTAAAATGAAATAAAAATTCGCCTCTATCAAGTCTTTGAAAGGCATCCAACTTGGTTTTCATACAGTTATTCTCTCTTTGGAGTCATACTTTACTGGTTTCAGTAATGTGTAACAAGTACACTGGCAAGAACAGGTTTAGGAGCAAACAGCTGCTTCATGGTTAGAGTTCAGCTCGCGGGGCCCAGCTGTGGGGGTGCAGCCTGCGCCTGCCTGTGCGCCAATAGGGCTGGTCACCTTGAGCATCTGGGAGTGTCTGGGTGAGTGAGGTCTGGGCAAGGCAGCATCCACACACCTGCGTAGTTCTCACTTTGTTCACGTTATCCGGCAATGCCACAAAATTATCAAGTAAGTGTTCTCCAAGTGCGTATTCATTCAGTGTTTGGAAGGTGCATAGGTACCTCATACAGCACCTTCAGGAGGAGCTAGGAGCCCAGGAATGAGAGCAGGTGTGAGGCCTGTACTCTCTTTGCATAGATAAAATATGCATGTGCATATCTGAGGCCAGAAAGTTAGATTGGGGCCAGAATGTGGAAGTCCTTACCTGTCAGATACTAGGGACCCACTGAGGGTTTCGGAGAGAATCATGTCTCTGATGTGCGGCGTGCCGTGGAGCCCGGGGGGACAGGGCAGGCTCATGCAGGGCACTCACCGCTGCGAGAGGAGGAGAGAAGGCAGCCAGTGAGCTGAGCGATTCGGTGCCTGGGTCAGGAGGGGAAGAGGGAGTGCAGGAAGGTGGATGAAGCTGTGAGTCTGCACCCCGAGGTCGGCGTTGCGCTTTGTCGGAGATCAGGAGGAGAAGCAAGTGTGGACCTGACTCAGAGATACTTAGAGACACCACTGCAAGCTGCGAGTTTGGAAATACAGGAGGAGGCTTGGGGAAAATCTGGAGCAGGGTGCATTTGGGATTCTCTTAGGTAGAAGTGCAGGTCAAGTAGCCAGAGTGTGAGGCGTGCATGTCTGGAGAGAGGAGGCCAAAGGAAAGCCCACATTTGGAAATGGAGGAAGGGTTGGAAGACCCAGAAAAGGCCCTGCTTACAGTCCAGAGAAGAGCTGGATGGCGCAGTTCACTAAAGCCCAGAGCCGAGAGTTTCCAGGAGAAAGTCCCAAGTCTTGCTGAAAACCAGGGGGCAGGACTCCAGTTGAAGCCTGTGAGGGGAGCCTGGCGGCCCTGATCCCTGAGAGCATCTAGAGCCTGGGGGTCTCGCGGAAGTGGGTGGGAAGTGCAGGGAGCAGGTGGAGATGGTCCTTCAAGGCCTGGTGCTTCACACGGGCAGCCAGCTGTGGACCGAGACACAGCTGGAGAGGGGCCTGAACCCAGAGTGTATCCAGGTGTAGCAGGGAGCCGGGAAGGGCAAAGGTATCCGGAAGAAAGGGGGCAGGCATGGAGCCAGGTCCCCAGGGAGGCTGCAGTCTTCTTTCTCTGTTCATGGACTGGTTGTTGGTTATTTTGAGTCCTCAAAGTCGTCCACTTGGTGCGGTCCAGAGAAAGTTCCCAGGGGTCTCAAGGCCGGAGCAGGCCTTGTGCTTTTCCGAACACTGTGCGTGTTGACTCAGGGTTACCGTCAATGGCTAATTCCAGCGTGTCTTTTGTTGAAGTCTGCAGAAGAGCCTCAACCGGCACCAGCTTTTGAAGAACTTAGAAAACTTGTGTTCTTCTGATTCTGGGATTTTTGCCTGAAATGCCTCGTATATTTTTGGCTTAGGTGTTGTTAGCACTTGTGTTACAGCATTTGGAGCTCTGTATTTTTGTGATGTGCTAGCTGTGAGGATAGTTAAAATTAGATTCCTAGAAATCAGGTTATAGGAGCTCTCGGCCACGCTTCCTGGGTTATGTTTTGACACCTCATAGTGGATCCCGTTGCGGTGGCTATTCTTAGTGTTTGTGGAACACCTGACTCGTGATGCTAGGAGAATGTTGTTTTCTTTGTAAGTCTAATGACCTTGTAGAGTCTTTATACCTGTCTCTTATAGATCAGCTTTAATATACTTGGTAGTGTCCTCATTGTGCCCTTGAAAAGCAGGTGCACATTTTGAAAGTCATCCTTTTAAAATCCTTTTCTCCAGCCTGTGCCCTTTGTCTGTTTTGTTTCCTTCACTGCAACATCATGAAACAGAGACAAGGGCTAGAATCTGTTTCATACACAGAGCTTGAAACAGGGACAAGGACTAGAATCTCTGTTTCATCCACAGAGCTGAACTGTGCTGAGCGACTTGCTTTGCCAACGTCTGTTTCTGTCGTGAGAGGGAACCCAGGCCTCTTGACTTTTCCTTTTGTACATTTTCAAAAAGAATATTTTTTTCCTGTCTTGGGTCCATTCCATTGTGGGATTCTCTCCTAAGGCTGTTTCTTTGCCTTCCATTTTGACAACTATGATTTAGTTTCCGAGATGATGAAAGGGTAGTGAAAAGGCCTGGGAAAGAGAAAGCAGGAAGGGAAGGAATTATCTCATGATTTTAGTCAGAAGGAAATCACTCAGACAGAAACGCTATTACAAGTGGGTCAGATCCCAGGAAGTGGGATTGAATAAGTGGCATCGTATCACACAACTCTGTTTTACATTCTTGCTGTTGCCAGGGGTAACGAAAAGAACGAGTATATTCATTCCGAGGTCAAATATATATCTTTGCTGACTCTGACTATAATTAGCAGAATTCGTTCAGTTCAAGTTTGAGAATACCTTTACAGAAGAGGGTCTTCGTGCCCGTGTGCCTATTTCTATTTGTATGTTCACACGTATTGGAGTATAAATGTGTGTGTGCTGTGTGTGAGACCTCATTATTTGAAACAAGAAATGTGCAGTAGAGCTTATTAATTACGAGAAGGTACATTTGGGGGATAAACCACTTTGTTTAGAATTGAATAATGGGGTCTTTGAGGGGTGTATATATGTATGTGAGTTTGCATTTATGTGTATGAAAGTGTATTGCATGTATATGTGTTGTGCATGTATGTGTGCCTTTGTGTGTAATGTACATGTGCATGCATGTGTATATGTGTGCATGTGTATTTGTGTTGCATGTATGTGTGTGCATGTGTTACATGTTTAGGCACGAGAGTGCACATATGTGCAAGTATAAATGCATGGATGCTCGTGTGTGTATAGTTATACATGTACATTTGTGCATGTTATGTCTATGCATTTACCTATGTGTGTGGGTCAGAATGTATATGTGTGAGTGTTGTGTGTATGTTTGTGCATGTGTGTTTGAGTGTTGTGTGTATGTTCATGCATGTGTTATGTGTTGGTATTATATGATTATGTGAATGTGTGTGCATGTGTGAATGTATGTATTGCATGTAAGTGTGCGTGTGCCTGTGTATGTGTGTGTGTGATATATATCTGTGCATGCATGTGTTATGTGTTGGTATTATGTGATTATGTGAATGTGTGTGCATGTGTGACTGTATGTATTGCATGTAGGTGTGCGTGTGCATGTGCATGTGTGTGTGATATGTGTCTGTGCATGCATGTGTTATGTGTTGGTATTATGTAATTATGTGAATGTGTGTGCATGTGTGAATGTATTGCATGTAGGTGTGCATGTGCATGTGTGTGTGTGATATGTGTCTGTACATGCATGCATGTGCACATTGGATTTGTGAGTCCTCTCTGGGAGGGGCATGTTCCTGGAGACAGTGCATGGGATACTCCGCTGTCCTCTCAGGGAGAGAGACATTGTGAAGGTTCGAGCCATTAGGTAAACATGCCTGATGTTCTATAAAATATATATTTACATATACCATTGGGGTTAAATATATGTTAAATGGGTGCACAGCTGTTATATTGCATTAAAAGTCATGTTAATACTTCCCTGTTAATGGCTTTGTGAATGATTTCCTGTGCATGGGACATAATACACCACACAGAATTACAGCGGGTTAATGGTGATATTTGCCGGGAGGTCTGGCTTATGATTGGTATTTCTAGTTGCAGACATGCAGGTTGAGCTTTGCTGGACTTAGAGGAGGGTCATTGACTCTGCCCACTGAATGATGCCAGCGTCTCTGCTGCTTCCTTGTTCTGCCGGCTTCATCCAGAGCTGGGACAGCTGCTCTCAGACGCATTGTACTTTTCTCTCCATAAAAATCTGCAGCATTTGTTAGCAGTCCAGTAGCAGACCAAATGGTAGGTCCAGGGGCAGGTCCAGCGTCAGGTCCAGCATCAGGTCCAGCATCAGGTCCAGGGGCAGGTCCAGCGGCAGGTCCAGCGGCAGGTCCAGGGGCAGGTCCAGCGGCAGGTCCAGGGGCAGGTCCAGCGGCAGTTCCAGCCAACTTTCCACACGGCCCAGGTGAAAATGTACCCTCTCCCTTCCATTTTTCACAGCAGTAGTTATTAGTAGAGCCTACTGCCATTTCTTCCTGAGTTCCTCACAGTGGATGGTAAGCATTTGCTTTATTAAAGCAAAGTTCCATGCTCTTTATGCTAAGTCTCCTCTGCCTTTCTGTGAGAGGCTAGAATTGGGATCGACCCTCAGCTGTGCCAGAGCCTTGGTACCTGTCTCAGTTCTGGAATCTACTCTGTCCTTGTTGCCTTCCATCCACCGACAGCCGTCTGTCTTCCTGTCACTCCTTCAACACGGAGTCCAGCAGTGTGCACACAGGTGAGCCTGTGTGAATGCTGGTTTTGTAGGATCTTATCGGGACCTTAGTCATCTTTTCACTAGGAAACCAGACACTGCAAAGGACTTACAGAAAAGCCCAAAGAAGCTGTATCAATAGAATCATAGAGACAGAATTCTATAACCATAGGATATGGCATTGATTATCATGAAATGTGCATTTATGTGAGGCATAGTAAAACATCACATTTCTTACTGGGTAAGAGCTTGGAAAAGAGATTATGAACGTATAACTGACTCTACTCTTGTATCGTGGAACATGGTAAAATGATGCAAGGTATTGTATAGAATGGAACAAACAGAATAGAATTATATAGAGTAGCGCAGAAAAGAACAAATAGCATAATGTATATAGGGTAGCATAGAATAGAAGAAACAGTGTAACATTATGTAGTATAGTATTCAATAGGACAAATAGTATTACATGGTCTAGAATAGAACAAGTGGGATAGTATTGTAGAGTATACAGTTGAACTAATGACGTAGTATTGCATAGCATAATACAATCTAGATTAGAACACACAGCATGGTATTAATATTACGTAGTGTGGTGTGGAATAGTACAGTCGCATGGCACAGAACAGAGAGGATAGTGTTCTGTAGCACTGATGCAGGAGTTTTGCTCTTTAGCTCGGCTGAGTCCAGGTTCTTGTCTCATGACCAGGAAGAAACAGGCACGGGGGCATCGAAGAGTGAGTGCAGTGGAGCTTGTTAAGCTAAAAGTTAAGCTCTCAGCGAAAAGAGGGGTCCTGAGAGCAGGTTGCTGGTCGCCCCCTTCCCAGTTGACTACAAGGGCTTTTATATAGAAGCTGATGGGGCTGGGCTCCTTGGGGCTCCCTGTCTGTGTAAGGAGCGAATTTCTGGTGGCTCCACCCCATTCCCCCGTGTGCACGGGGACCCTTAGTCTGCTGTGAGCATGTTTAGGCGAGCCCCCTGTGCAAGTTCCCCTATCTGCACAAAACATGGGCTGGAGGCTCTCTGGGACCCTTCCCTGACTGTCTGCTTAAAGCAAGCTGGCTAACTCCTTTCCGTATGGAAGAAAATAGTATAGAACAGAACAGAGTACAGTATTATATGGTATAGAATGAAACTGTAGTGTTCTATCGTAGAGAATGGAATAGTATAGAATAGAACAAACAGATCGTACTAGTGTAGTATAGAATAGTAGCCTCAGGCAGCACGGAGCAGTGTTGTGCTCCCTATGTACAGAGTGTAACCACCAGGAGAGCGTTCTTCAGTGGGGCGTCACTGGCCCTTCATATTTCTTTGGTTCTGTGGAAATGACCAAGGGACCATCAAATGATCCCCCAAGAATAACTGACGGCCTTAACAGTAAGAAACTGCGGATCCGCAGTGGCTCCATGCGTAACCCCAGCACTTGTGGAGGCCGAGGGCGGTGGATCATGGAAGGTCCAGGAAAGATGAGACATCCTGCTACCACATGAACCCTGTCCTACTAAAAAAACAAAAAACTAGCCAGGCGAGGTGGCGGGCGCCTGAGACACCCACTACTCGGAGCCTGAGGCCAGGAAGAAAGTGGCGGGAAATCGGGAGGAGACTTGCGGTGAGCCCGAGATCCGACACTGGCACTCCCAGCCTGGGCGACAGAGCAGACTCTCTCAAAAAAAAAAAGGAAAAAGGCCAACCTCCCGCTCCCCTCTCTTATCTCACCTGTCCTCAG